ATAATCATTCGTCTTCTCATTTGAACCTCTCACCAATCAGACGATTCCTTCTTGTTGCATAAGAATTCGTTGTTCGATAACTAATTTACATTCGATTTCGCTTTACTAAAATGTCACGGAAGAGAGGACAGAGATTGTCTAAATAAATAAAATAACCTTCGAAACTCCGGCATTCTTCTCGCCATCGACCTTTTACCCGCCGAGTTCAATGACACGACGTTCCCCGAGGATGCACGAATATAAAAATTGTAAATCGTTGAATATGGACGGACTTGTGTATCCGGCAAGAATAATTCTGCATCACTGTCGGTCTCGGAACTTCCGTCTCGGTCATCGTGAGTTATGCATCCAGGAGGATATAACCGAGGAAGATATGGTCTGAGATATAACCGATGAAGCATGTGTACCGGTTTCTTCATTAATGGTAATGATCGCGCAGTCCACGGGAAAGCTCGCGAAAGAGAACGCGACGATTTGTATTCAGAACGCGGAATACGGCGAAAGCCAAGAATTGAAGCGGGGGTAGACCGCGGTGGAATCGCGAAATAAACCCCTTCGCGCAGAGGTAGCCGCGATGCGGTGTAGTAAAAGAGGAGAGGGTGGCGCGCAGCCTCGCGCTCCAGTTCGACTTCCGACAATAAAAGAGAGTTAAGACCATGCACCGTGAGCCAGTGTATCGAACCGATCCAAACGCTGTTCTTGCAATCTAGTATCTGAACCGATCCTACGAAACCAATGGAATTAGGGGATAGAACATTTTCTTTCTTCTCCAAGAGTCGCTGAACGGTTAAATGTATACATTTTCCTAAATAACACGGAATTAAAATAACAGAATTATCATCTACGTGGAATACGAATCCTAACGTTGCAAATGTAAAAATACCGCATGATGAGTTTCATTATTATTATGCATAAATAGATTGTTACATATATAGAGAGCAAAAAGTTCTCGTCACACACAAAGGAAATATGTTTTTAAAAAATAAAATTTATTTAAAAAATAAACATTAATTAGCTATATACTAACAAAGAATAAAATAACGTGTTTGTATATTTGTTAAAATTATTTTACCTAAAAAGATGCCATAATTAAAATATATTTTCTTGATAAATAAAAAGTTGTATTATTGTGGCGCACAAAAAGTATTCGCACAAATTTAACCTTCTACGAATCAGGACACGTGAAGTTCTTTAATTTTCATTAGAAAATAACGTATTCATTATACAAACTTGCTAATTGATGTTTATTTTCCACAAATAAGGCTTTTTTTATAAAAATTTTCTCTATATAATATTTTTTCCATTTACTGTATAGGAAAATTATACTTCTCCCGTCATATAAACAATTAGTACATTGAATAGCTGCATTTAGCAAAAAAAGCAGCTTTATAATTATTATTACAAAATTCTTTAATACGATTTGTTTACACATCTAGATTCGTGAGGAATTAAGAATAAAAACCAATCATATTAAAGAATTTGACAACAGTTGCAAAAACTGCTTTTTCTGCTAAATGCAGCCAATGTTTCGACTACTAAATTTCTGTATGCAAAGAGCTGCACGATTGCGCATTCCATTATTTTATCATCACAAAATCATATTAATTATTATGCTATATATGCCTATAATTATAGTATAATTTATATTTCATTGTATATTCGCTAAGCATTAAAGAGAGACTATTCATCACGCTCGTCACGAAAGAATATGGTCGTACGATTTCGCGAAGCTTCCACAAAAACGCTTAAGTTGCGGTAATTGCGAGGTCTTCTTCAAATGATTATTGTGATTTAGGTAGAGTAAATCTTTCGTTTATTCGCCAAGCGGATTCAGCTCGTGTCTTTGTTCTACATCCCGAACCCTGAATTCCCGATGAGCCGTTCGAGCGTCGAGGAAGTCGATCTTGTTCCGTCGCTTCGTATAATCAAGGGAGATTGGGAAAGGATTATTTCTATAACTCTGTGTTCTGCCGAGCAGAACAAACTACTAGATAGTATCTTCTTGCTATTTGCAAAACGTGGATGAATCTACGTAATCCGAGCGAATCATTCGTTCAATAACAGAATTTAATTAATTTTAATGGCACGATCGTCGGTTGCGCAATTGTAAATTGCTTGAATAACACGCTTCTTCCTTTTGTTGTGCCTAATTGGTTATGCATGCTCTCTCTCTGAGTAGATTATGTTCTTGAGTTATTGCGAGATAGTCGTCTGAATATGTGCTTTACACGAAAATGTGTGTGCCTGTTTGTGTTTATAGAATCGCTTTAGTTTATATGTGCTTAAGTCTGTAAAATAAGTATGCTACATTAAATACATAAAATATAATAATATAATAATAATATAATAATATAATAATGTAATTATATAACGTACAATAATGACGAGAAATCTATTGTTATTATTTCTTTTTTCAGAATCCAGAAAAATATGTCTTAGTTAATTCTTAAGTAAATTCACAAAGTTGAATTCTTACACATTTATATTAGTAATGTGTAAACATAAAAATAAATCATAAAGTCGACATAAAAAACAAATTCTTTAATAATAAATATAATTACAAAAATTTACAAAGACATTAAATAATTATTTTATCAATAGATATATGATATTTTTTTATTGTATTTATAAAATAAATATGATCAAAATATTCTCTTACAAATTTGTATTAATACACGAGCTGTGGTGTTGGTGGGACGATGAAAGAGAGAGTGAGAGGGAGGGGGAGAGAGAGAGAGAGAGAGAGAGAGAGAGAGAGGAAGGAGAGAGATTTTTTTAATCAATACGTCAACGCGTTAAATGCAAGATAAAATTGACAGGATTGAGAAAGCTACCTTGTAAAAATAATTAGTTACAGTTACAGTTTTCTTTTTCAAAAAATAACCATTATTGATTAAGAGTTACTAATTTTAAAAAATAATACGTTACAACAGTTTATTTAAAAATAATGAGTTGTTACTTATCAGTTATTATTCTATTCATTTTTTGTAATTATTTGCATTGCTATTTTAAATATAAGAATCTTATACACATTTCTAATTAAATAAATATTTAAATTATATATATATAATATTCATAATAAATTAATATATGTATATTACAATCAAAATTATGGAATCAATATTAAGACGCGTTTAAACACGAACAAAATCCTAGCTTAATTCTTAATACAGACATTTACAGAGAGTGATGATCATCGGAGAGGGATAAAGATATATATTTCATTCGCAAGAAATAATCACTGATTCACTGAACTTTATTTTGGTTAGCTTATATATTAACGAATAAGTGTGATATAAATTAAGTAACTATAAAAATAATTATTACTAGTTACAAAAAATGTAATATTCTCAAATATGAAAAAATTTAAATTTATGATCATGTATTGGTACTATATGTGTTTTAAATAAATATACATTTATTTTTATTTCATTTAAATAGACTTATTTAAAAAAAAAAATATTCTTGCTAATATTATTTATCGTCTACATGACATAATTAAAAATCATTAAAATGTACAATTAAATAATTTAAAATAATCAACTATGTGGAAAGTATCACAAATTTCCTTATGCCTAACGACAGTATCGCTACGTCTGCTACTTCTACGAGAAGTTCTGCGTATTTTTAGAGAACGCAGTCCGCGAGCGAGATGTGCAAACTACGAGTTTATTTTCGGTGGAAATCCTACATGTTGCGGGGCAGTATCCGATCAGCTTAAAAAAACGCGCGTATGTGTTGCGTGGATTTTTCAAGGCCACAGAAAAAGCTTTTCGGGATCATTGTATTGTTTGTCGCGTTTTCGGAATTTTGTCAAAACTCGGACTCACGCTCTGACTCACTCAACGAAGAAGAGTCACGCACTGCCACAGAGGCAGCGCCTGGTCATCGCTACATAGTCCATACCCTCTCACGGGATTAGTCAAATCCAAAAATAATACCGAACATGCACCGCGATGCAAATGGACATGGCGATGTAAATCAGACGTTTTAAGATCTCTTGAATTTAAGATCCAGCATAACGGGGTTGTTCTATCGAGCATAGCTAGCGCTTAGAATTATTACGAAAATAAATACGATTGTGAATACCGTGTAGTGCAAACACAGCGTCTGTTAGAAAACGATGTTTATTCAACGCGTTGAAGATCTCACTACCTATTAATATGCTACATTATAAAAATAAAGAAACTAAATATATATATATATACCTTTAGTAAGCTATAAAGCTTGTGAAATACGATACAAAAATAATTTCGTGTTGACCTCTTTTGTGTAATTCTAAGAATTATTAAATCATACATTTAACTAAGTAATGAACAAAGATTTTACTAAATACGAGAGAAACGCTACATCTAAGTTAAACTTAGATGTTAAACTAATACATATATATGTATTCTTTAAATGAATTTTTCTCAGAAATACAACTGTGCGATTACTTTTAACACAATCAATCTGAAATATTTAATAATCTCCCTATATATTTTAACAAGAAACATCTTAAAACCTATAAAGAAGACTTATATTTAACGAATAAGTTAAACACACAATAGCTTATGTTGTATAATTATTTTGATCAATATATGATATTGCTAACATATCACATATTACTAAGTTCCTAAGATAAGCCAGATCATTCATCATTCTCGCCGCGCCCGCCCGCATTTTTCCATTAGTCCAAATATTTCAGACGCAGCCGTTGTTAAAATATTAAAACGGAAACTATGCGCTGCGCGCAGAATTGCATATCACTTTCAATCGGAAACATTTCAACGTCAACTAAAACCCGAGGCAACCACACAATGGTATTTTTTTCACGAAGCCGCATTAAAAAAGCGCGCACGTTAGCCCGTATTTCTCTGTTTTGATTTTGGCCGGTGGCGCGCGGTGTGCAAAGTGGACTTGAAAATAACCCCGCCACGAGAGAGAGACCACCCGATCTATTAATAGTTTACCGACATGAGTATCTTTGTCGACGGTTCGGCATCGACTACGGGCGATTCGGCCGCAAAATTCGCCGATATACAGTCCGCGCGTGTGCACGCATATGTCGTTGCCTGATTCCCGAAGAGACGTCGTCGTCGCGATGCAGCTGACACCTCCGTTCGTTGAAGTCTGCAATGGACGATTCTCGACACGGATGAATTAGGAGCTGCCAGCTAAATACGAGAGAACGAAGATCGGATGAGAAGAAGAGCGAGAGGAAGAGGGTTCTGCGACGAAAATGTCTATTCGGCGTTGACATGACTGTCGTTGGGAGAATCTCCGATTGCTCCGTCGAAATTTTTGGCGTTCGTGTATAGCAGAAACTGGAAGGAACTTAAAACCACGTTTCGGGTGAATCTAAATAAAGAACTATGCAGCGTGGCGGCTGAGGCGGGGCGCGGTGCCTCGGAATATGTGAGAGAGTGAGTAAGAATGGTACAGCAAACCGCATACAGTAACGAGACGAGCGCATCCCTCAATGGAGTACCGAACGGCGACCGCAGAGGAAGAACGTCCGGTCTCATCGACGGTGTGGTAGCGCGTAGTGCTGTCGATGGTGAAACGACTTCCCTGACACGCGGTAGCGGCGGAGGTAACAGCGGCCGGTTTTCCCTGTTCAAGTGGTTCAAGCGAAATAGAGATTCAACCGTGGAGAAACGACGGAGAACGAGCGCGAGGCCGGACGATGATGGCGTCGTCCGACGACGTAGCAGCATCTACTCCAGCGTAGATAGCGTAAATACCTTTTACAGTACTACCACGGTCCGCAGTTTCGCATTTCACACGGGAACTCTGGGCCGTTGCAACGTGCTGTCTTTGGATATACTCAAGCAAGCAGCTGAAGTAGGTCCGTTCGCTGCCGGAGCCTCGAAAGTATACTTGGGTAATAAAGAAAACAACGCGTCGTCGGCCGCCGCCTGTACGTTACCGATTAATGTACACTCTAGGAGACAAGATATCACCTCCAGGTACTCTTTGCAACCAACGACCTTCAGCTCGTGTGGGAACTTCCTGACACCTGGAAAAAATTTATCGGATTCGTGTCGGATTCGGTGAGAAAATTTGAGAGGCGGAGAGTCAATGGGGCTGCACGACGACGGGTCCACGTAAAGGGAAAACGGAAAGCACCCAATCCTCCCGACGCGGTGGTGAAGATCGTGGAGGTCAATGCACGCGAAACACCGCCAAGGAACAGCAATAGACGCAAACGACGGGCGCCGCGACCTCCTGAGAAAGTGACTGTGGAACAGTCAAAGCTTGTCACCGATGGCGACGGCATGGAAGTAGAAGTGCGGAAGGATGTCGATGAAGGGCAATCGATCAGTAACGATACACTAATCCTTCAGGGTGGTATGCTGCTGTCAAAGAAGGAAGTTTGCGGCAGTCCAAAAGCCGCGAAAAACAACAACAGTGACGCGGAAGCGTCCAACGTGACGGTCCTGCAAGAAAGAGCACAGAGTCCAATTAGTACCCTGAACATGCCTCGACCTTGGTACAAGCGTAGCGTATTCGAGCACTCTCGCGACTCCGGATCATCCAAGAGAGGCGCCGTCTTTCGCAGCCCTATGACATCTGCTGAAATGAAGGAGGAGTATGTCGGAACAAGTATAAATTCTTCTCCAAGTTATTCCATTGACGCTTCCCTGTCAAGGCTAAATTTTTTTCATCGCGGCGAGCGGCAAAGTGACGACAGGAAACGACAGGAGGCTAAACGAAAATCCGGCTTGTCTATTCTAACGAACATCAGCGAGCTGGATAAAGAAGCGGCGGCGATTGTACAGGAAGAGCAGGCTCGAGCACGGGCGTCAATGTTGTTGAAGACGTCAAAATTTGCTGAAGATTTCGAAAAGAGGAATGACGTCAACGAAGAACTAGTTCAGGACATGGTCACCTCGGCGATTGAGAGTTCATCGCCTAGACGAGGCACGCGCGCGTTAATCTCAAAATTCAATGCCATCAGCAATATCACTAAAGTCACGGTCAACGCTAATTTCTTTGCTAAAAGGGATCAACCAGGTTATAAGTTTGATCGCGATGCAACAAGAAACGACAGATTCGAACAAATCGGAGATTGGAGAAATCAAAGATTCTCGGTGCAACAAGATCTCGGCCAAAGCGTTCGCGTTGATAAAGATATTTCCAGGTACTTCTTGCCGCAACAGAGATCATCGAAGAATAGAACTGAATCAACGAACACGGATGTAAAGTCAGTAGACATCAAAATTACTTCTAGCAAGGAACAAAATGATCAGCTGATGAAGGACGCATCCAGTAGAATATCATTTTTACAAAGTCAACTCGCTGCGAATCGCGAGAATGAGTCTTTAACTGTTCAGAAAGATATCGCGTTTCCGGAAGAAAAGATTAGATCGCGGCAGGAAATTGCCAAAGAAACGAAGGACAAAGAATCACCGAAATTGAATACTGAAACAAGAAGAAAATTTCTACTTTCTCGTACTACTCGTAACTTACCTGAAAGTACAGAAACCGCGTTAGATCCCTTCAGAGAAAAGGCGGAAGGGGAAAAGGAATTTTCGGACATTTTCAACGAGATCGACCGACAGCTGCGTTCTAGAGAATTCAAACTCATCGAACGGAGATCAGTAGCCGAATCTGACAATGTCAGAGACAAAGTTCCAGGGGATGAAGCTGTATCGAGTAAAGTGGCCAAAGTACTCGATATCCTAGTGGAAGCCGAGAAGGATGGTAAAACGAGATTGACGATACAGCCGGAAAGATCGATGCAAGACAAGGGAACGTCGCGTTTGATTGATTCAGATCAGAAGGCAAAGTCCAGTAAGACAAAATTAACCGCTCTCAATACTGTCGAGGACCCAATTACTGCGGATTTGAAGGAGATGCTGAAGGAGATGAAACACTCGTTACCGAAACGGCCCAAATCGAAGAAGATTGTGTCAAACGATGTTCTCGAAAAGGTTGAGAAGCGCTCGCCCGTACCTACAAACAAGACCTCCTACATTGCTACGACGAGGATAGCGACAACGTCAAATGATTACGAAACAGATAAGCAAAAGGTATCCTCGTCAGCGCAAACCAGTGGAAACATCCGTAGATTAAATCAACCTTCCACTTCCGCCGAGCGACCGTCTACATCGGGATGGAAACATGAGAACGTACTCTACAAAACTTCCGGCAAGGGTTCGGTTCTTGTGAAGAATACTTTCCAACTGATACGACCACGCGATTTCGCCGAGATAGAAGCTATGAAGACCACGAAGGAGGTATACAAGGAAAACGCTTATGCCAATGTGATAGAACCATCGCTATACGCAAATACTCACGTTCCTCCCATATCGCCAAAACAACAACCGGATCCGACGACATCTAAAGATATTTTGCAAAGTAATCATCCTGAAGAGCAATCCAATATTGCAGACGAGAGTAAGATCATGTTGAACAATGATGAGCTTACAAATAAAGGTAATTTCGCAGCTTATATTTGCTAAAATAATAGTTTTGTAAAAAAACTATCTATTTAGAACAAAATACCTATTTCAACTAATCGATTCAAATAAGGAAAATTAAGAAAATGAAAAAAATATGCGAATAAATAATCTCTATTAAATTTACTTTTAAAAGAAATCTATTTTGGAAATTTTCTTTTGAAAGTTTCAAAAGAATAAACTGTTTCTAATTAATTTTCTTTGATTATTTTTTTTTAATTATAGAAAAAATTCTACAATATGACTATTGTTGCAGACGATAATTCAACAGCGAGAAACATGAATACTCTGGCCATAAATCGATTACTGAGAAAACTGGAAGGGGCCATCGCGTCGGGTCATCATCAGCAAGCGGCGGGATTAGCGAAGGAATTGGCAAGACTCAAAATCCATTGTTCCGTGATACGACAGCGTTCGGCGGCGCGTTTGAAGGATCAGTCGATTAAAGTCAATATGTATATCGAAGATAAACTCGCTCACCAAGGGCCCATACCACTTCAGGTAAGTAACCGATACTGACGGTTGCTCGATATGCAAACAAAACGTTTCATGGACCGGGCTGTGATAACAGTTGCCGACGAGAATGACGATAGCCGAGCTGAAGACAAAGATACATACGGAGTTTGAGATACCCACGAACGTGCAGCGATGGATCATTGGGAAAAACTTGGCTGATCACGACGAAGCCACTCTCGTCGAGTTACACGCAGTGGATGGTTCACCAGTATTTCTTTATCTCGTAGCACCCGGTAAATTTGATTCATTCGATTGAATATGACTTCTCAGTAACAAAAATCTATTCCGGCATTTTTTATTTTAAAAAATCCTTTATTCTAAACGTGAATGTAAAAATTTATTTTTTAAATAATTATAGATATATTTAATTATATATTTAATTATTAGTTATAAATGATGATATGTTGCAATATTATAGATAGTGTTGCATTGCATATCGACAATGCAGCACAAGTGAACAAGTCACAGCCAACAGAGGAAGTTTCTGAAGAATTAATACAAGATCCACCAATGGAAGTTTTGCAGACAATCGAAGAAAAGCAAGAAACCAAAGAAGTAGATAAAATAATATCGATAACAAATGAACATGAGGTAATGCATCGACGTGCTATTTCAAATGTAATAGCGTTTTCCACTGAGAGAACTAGCGAGAGAACACTAGTAATGAGTGCAACTTTATTATTCTACTGTGAAAACCAGTTCACATATTTTCAGTGTTTAACGTTCCACTGAAAAAATTTGCACTGAGTTCAATTTTTTCTTCACCGTCTTTAAAGTCAGTGGAGACCAGTGCAAGTTGAAATTGTGCTAATAAGGTATAATATTACGTTATGATATAATATTACACTATTCTAATTAATGTCATAACAACGCCATTATATTAGTTTTGAGGTTTCTAATAATAGCTACGCAATGACATTTTGACGTTTAAAACTCTTGAAATGTATAAAATTAATTTTTTTTTAATGTTTTAAATAGATAAATAAGTAATTTAAGTTTGAACATAGTCGTATATATTTTTATGTGTTATAAAATGGATATCAATAAAATGGATGTCTTATGAGAGAGATATGTTCCACTGAATCGTATATACTAAACTTGCACTATTACTGCACTAGTTTTCATTGAAATATAGTACGATGCGTGCCGCATCGGTTTTCTCAATGGAAAACGCTATTAGTTTTGTTTATTTAATTTATTAAATAATCGTGATGTTTTTAATTTTTATTTATTTATCTATTAGCTGCATATATTCAAAGATGAAGATATGTAATGTACGTTTTGTATGCTTATATACAACAATAGCAAGAAACAGCGGAGACGAACATGTCGGAAGACATCAAGATAGGACGATACGAGGAATTGATATCGTTGGAGAATTGGGATGTCATTCCAAATTCCGAGCCAATCGAGTGTCCAATATGCTTCGTTACATATGGTCCACGAGAAGGTGTAATTCTAAGGGATTGTTTACACATGTTCTGCAGGTAGAACCCTTTAATCTTCACATCCCAGCTTTAATTACTGTTTAATCCGTTAAGAACAGAAATCAATTTCAATAGCTGTATCGTGCTTTTGCATAGGTGCTTCCCCTGTACAAAGATATAATCTGCAATAGATCACTTTCGCTCATTGTAGCTGTTCACTAGACACAGAAATGTGAGAAATGACCATCAATAATTAGACGTCGAATTGATGTCAAAATTATCATATCGTTGTCAATTCGCTATCAATTCAATGAGTCATTTCTCTCTGAGGAATCACCTGTATTGATTCTAATTTATCCTAGCGAAATGTATTTAGCTAGTTCTAGCGGCTAGATAGATATGTGTTACTCTGTTACACAATAAATTGTAATGCATCACAGATATATTTATCTGTTCTATAATAAATCTGATTCATGCACATTAATAACGCTAGTATTGTATTTCCGCAAGACACTACGATCGTATGCATAAATATTCTAGATTTTATGTGGCAAACTTCACAAAAAAAAAAACGCGCGATGACTCAATTATATTTTTGTTTATTTATTAATTAAGACTAACATGAATTATTTTCCGCGTATAATGAATTTTCGTTGTATATTCAAAGGCCATGTATCGCCAATACGATCGCGTATTGCGAAGAAGCGGAAGTGAAATGTCCGTACAGAGATTCTGATTATACGTGTGAATCAACCCTTCAAGAACGTGAGATCAAGGCGGTAAGTTTTTGTTTAAGATTATCCGACCGAAGTTTTAATAAAGTTTGTGATGATTCTATTATTGTTTACCCTTAGCTCGTCGAGCCAGAAGTTTATCAGCAGCACCTCGCGAAGTCGATCGCGCAAGCTGAGAACAAGGCTGGAAACAAGGCTTTCCACTGCAAAACACCGGACTGTCCTGGTTGGTGCATTTACGACGATGACGTGAATAATTTTTTATGTCCTGTATGTGAAGCTAATAATTGTCTTACCTGTCAGGTGAGTGTTACTAATATCTATCGAAAAATGTAGAGATAAATTTAGGAAAATAATGGAATAATGGAAATGTACGATAGATATAAAAATATTACTGTTAATTGATATACGTGAAAACGATATGCGATATTAACAGTACATAATAAAATTCCACGTTTTATTTTCAGTATTAAAGATATTATATGTATGATGAATTTGAAAGGTTATTTTTAAAAATATATAGCACATAAATTCACAGCAAGAAAAATCTTTCTTTGTATTGTTTTGTTTCTCATATTTGTTTCTTCAATAGTTTTTCATTTTACTGTTTCTCATTTTAATTATGAGTACATAAAATATTGGCACAATACTGTTATTAAAATCGACATGATACTTAAAAAAAAATGTTTAAAAATTCTATACATCTCTTTTCTCTCATAGCATATTGCAGTACAGAATGCATTTAGCAAAACACATACTTAAAAATTAAATTCAGTAAACATCAATTAAAAGTAACATCAATGTTATAATTTAACATTCAACACTGTTAATCTTATGTGAGACATGTGTTACATAATATAGTATTTATATTATTGAGTGTGAAATTATAACATTGAGTCTACATTATTTGGTATTTACAAATAAAGATCAATTTATAAATATATTCTTTAAAATTTTATAGTGAGAATCTTAAAAAATTTTACTCTGAAATTTCATTCTTAAAGATTGAAAATTGAGTCACTTTTTTTCAAGATTCAATTTTCATATTTTTTGAGTAAGATTCTCCAAAGAATTTAGAAAATAAATTTTCAAGATAAAATAAAGAGCATATAAACTTTGATTTCAAAGGTTGTTCATACTGGGAAGAATTGCAAACAATATCAGCAAGAATTACAACTTTCGAAAGAAACTGACCAGGAATCTAGAAGGACAGCAGCAATGCTCAAAGAGATGGTCGATAGAGGAGAGGCACTTGCATGTCCCACATGTGCCGTTGTTCTTATGAAAAAATGGGGTTGCGACTGGTTAGTTTGTTCTATGTGCAAAACGGAGATATGTTGGGTGACCAGAGGACCGCGTTGGGGGCCAGGAGTACGTATATTAATTTATTTTCTGCAATTTATTAGGATCAGATCTTTTATAGATTCTAAGATTTGTTAAATATTAACGACATGTTTTATGATTTTATTGATCATTACTTGTCGCAGGGTAAAGGAGATACGTCCGGTGGTTGCAGATGTGGTGAAAACGGAGTTAAGTGTCATCCCCGTTGCAATTACTGCCACTAAAGAATTATAACTACAATAATAGGCAAATAGGAAGTTCATGGTGACAATAAGATGTTTTAGAAATGCTTTTATATTATATGCTTTCATATTGACACGATAATTCACAGACTCGATGAAACATGCGAAGATCTTTTATACGCACGTTTAGTATAAGCTCGAATCCCGATGAATCAGTATGTAATAGAAATTACAATATACGCTGCTTGCTCAATGATTGTAATCTTATCGTGACACCGTCCTTGATAGGATTGAAAGTAAGATTCTAATAAAAAGAGGAACACACCTAACTTTGTATCAATGTTTCTTATTTTTATCGCAAATACAAAGTGTAGTGAAATAAATCATACTTTACTTAAAGCTTTCGATAAATCTAATATATAATAAATTATCGATACAAGCAATTTTTTGCAATTATACAGGTACCGATTCTTTGTTCTCGTCGGAAGTTGTTTTATCTGTACCGATCTGTTTTAATCGAGCAACTAATGTGGACTGATGATGCGTGAGTTGTTGATTCAAGTTATTACCACCCGCACTTTGTAACACTTGAACAAGATGAACCCGCGCTGATGTAAGATCCATTTTACCGTATTTCAAAAAGTCCTTCTTATCCAGCACTTGTCCCTCCAGTATACCCGCTATAAAAAAAATAGATAAATTTAGTATCATTTATTTTAGCGCTTTTTAAAATTACTTACCTAATAAAATAACTTGTGGAAACTTTTTAATAATTTTTTCAAAGCCAGCAACATTTGTGTCAGAACCAAATACAATGCAGAATTGCGACGAATATAAGGGCATTGTTGCCGTATAAGGTGAATCTGTCAATGCTAATTTCATAATCGTATTGCTATATCGTTTGTAGTACATGTTTAATTTCTTTAATGGAACTGCTAGCTCAAACGCATCCTCTGATGTCATAGAATTCTGATGGCAAATGGCAATCATTTTGGAATTGTCAAACCAATTGCGGACCTCACGTGCTATTATTCTTTGGTAAGGATTATATTCTATCTCTTCCTTCTTTTTCGCAGTTCTTGCGTTGTAACATAATTCTTCTAATTTCTTAGTTTCATTTTTGATCGGGTAAAAAGGTGTCAAAAATTCGTTCACCAATGCTCTGAAATAATGCGGCTTTTTGGGTTTTTGTATATTAATTTTGCTTCGAAAACGCTTCTGCTGATAAAGGATTGTGTTTGGAGTAATCTGAAATGCTGAAACACATAATAAAGCAATATTGTTAAATTATTACAAAAAATTAACTACAAAAAAAGAAAGTCGATCAATTAAAAATTTATACCTACCACCATAATTTCTTCTGACTTTTTGCAATATTTATTCTCGATGTTAATTGATGTTTTGTTATGAATTGAAGATACTACCGGTACAGTTAAATCGATGAGAACGATGAGAAAATGTATTTCGGAAGTTTGAACCGATTTAGCAAAAGAATATAATTCCTCTTTTGGAACTATTAATTATTTAATTCTGGTGTCATATAAATTACATGTATAATGTTTATATCGTAGTAAGTACATGATCCGTATCAATTAAAGACAAGTACAAAATCATATATATACAGAATTATTTACTTTCTTTTAATGATATAAGGCACTTTGGAACAGATCGTATATATATATATATAGATAAAATATATATTTATATATATGCAATATATATATATATATATATATATATATATAATTTACTTATGAAAATTTATTTTGCATATTTTCATTGTATTTATGCGATGTAACTGATCCTGCCGCTGCAGTAATTACTAGTTTCGTGCCTCGCTTCTATGCTATCTCCAAAATTAAGTGATTTCCTATTTCTGTTCAATCGAAGTATCGATCGAAGGCCGTTTTTCTTTCGCTTATATCGGTCATCCAATGCTGAATTAAGAGAAGCTTGCTTTACATCTCCGCGACTATTTGAAAAACCTTCTCGCTCGTCTTTGATATTATTGCTGCTTGTAACTTCATCATGTACATCGTCTACGAGCCAATGTTTTTTCGGCGAAAGAAACTTATTATTGCATCCGGGTATAGTATACATATATTCCGATTGAGCAACATCAACAGATTTTTCATGGTGTCTCACATTGTTGTCGGCACTTGTATTTCCAGCTAAGGCCCCTTTACTTGAATGTTTCTCAAAATTATTCGACTTGCTACTCCTCTTCGAATAATCTCCCAAATCGCTCGAGTGATTGCTTGTTTGGCTAGTTGATTTCTGATTGACTTGATCAGCGTTCTTATTTTCTCTGTTTTCACGCAACTTTTTGTTTCTTTTATAGGTATCTGTGTTTTTAGCGTCGAGTGCTGCGTGTCGTTTCTCAGACATGCTCTGTCTGCCAAGAGCATCACGAGAAAACTTATTTGACGAAGAATTTAATTCTTCCAAAGATAACTGGCTGTCGTACGTAGGATCTCCGGAATATTGGCTGTCTTTATCCTCGGCATTTCGTTTGGCGTCATTTCCTTGAGAGCTATCGTTGTTAGATTCTTCTAGCAATACTGCTTCAACCCGATCATCGCGCGTTCCTATAATTTTTTTTACATTATTAATAGGTTCTATCCATGTCTTATTGGTAGCAAGACAATAACTTTCATTTCTTAAACTACTCTTGTTATATTGCTCCGTTAATCTATCAATGACAGGATTCCATGGCGAAGCTGTCACGCAAGATAATAATCCACCGTTATCCAATACATCGGTTTGAGAATTTAAAGTGTTTTTCTCTTTGACTATGCCGTCATTCATTTTCGTAGAATCTGATATGTATATGCTACTAACAGATTCTGGCTTACGGTGAGATTGTAAATTATCTACAGTATTTTTCTCACTTGTATCATACGATGATACCCTCCTAGCTATTATAAGATTAATCACACCAGTTACTGAGCTGTCTGTGTTAAGCATCGCCCTCCTTAAAGTCTCCATTGCTTCAGAATTAGATAATCCCAACAAAGATACGCCGTTAACTCTGAGCAATTGATCATTGGTCCGCAAACGACCGTCCCTGGATGCTGCACCTCCATGGATAACACTTTTTATAAAAATACCTAAATCCATGTTAGTGTTATCATCAGAACTGTTGGTTTTGCCTTTAACACTAACACCTAAACCAGCCTTCTCGGAATCATGTACTGGTATATCTAAATTCATTATCACACGATTCTTCCGTGGAGATAAAACAATATCTTCAGAGGACTTGATTGGTTTATATGTGCACTTCTCGTAATTGTGAGTGCTCACTTTATCTTGTACGTCATTCTTTTTCGCTGGTGATCTATTTAATGCGTTCCAATATTTTGAATTATCCATTATTTCAGCAGTTGGGGGAGCAGATATCGCAATACCCTGAGAATCTGGAATGTTTGAAGAAATTTCCTCTTGACGCGATACTACCATCCTTACTTTACCACCAGCATGAATACTTCTGAGCAATGACACGACTTCTGCTTGGCTTTTGCCCGTCATCTCCTTATTATTTACTTCTAGCAACCTATCACCCGATCTCAATCTGCCATCTTCTACCGCAGCACCTTTTGGTAATATATTTTTAATATATATAGGACAATGTCCTCCAGCAGGATTATCACGTGTAGTAACACTAAATCCTAAACCGTTACCTCCTTTTACTAATTCTATTTCTATCATTCGTCCAATTTTCCTAGTGTTCGCAGTCTGTAAAAGATTATAGTTGCTGCATTGAAGTCTCTTGATATTCTCATCACCTTCGGTTTTCTCCGATCCGCCACTGGTATTCCCATGGTTTTTATGCAAAGATTTTTCGTTCCTCGCTCTCTTCTTATGTTTAACAACGGAAATTTGTAAACAGGGATCATTCATGCATGTTCTAAAAATATCTTGGACCTTTGGAAATGGTATATGCAACAAATTATGACCATTTATTTTTATAATATTATCATGTAAATCAATTTGTCCGTCTCTGGCGATACGACCATTTGGTTCGATACCTTCGACTCTAAGTCCTTGATCATTGCCTAATAAGTCATAACATGGCACCACATGGAGCCCCAGTGGCCCTGCTTCATTTTTTATCACTATTTCTCGCACCTCTTGATTTCCAGATTCAATGTTATTGCCAAATTCATACGAAGCTTTAGAATCTTGACCTAAAGGTTCCCTACGTCGAGACTCTCTTGGTAGAGATTGAGCAGAATACGTTGTGAGAGAAGGTTCTCTCGTTGACAATGCGTGCATTGACAAACGCTTGGCACTTTCTCTCTTAATACTACTAGACACAGAGGAATGGACATCGATTGGATAAGCTTGCTCCTTGACATCTCTATGGAAGAAGTCAGGACTGTTGGTGCCAACCGAACTTGCACCATCTCCACCTACGTGATTGACATCGGAGCTGGCAAAGTGAGCTACGATCTGCTCTCTATCATCGGCTACATCACACAATCTGTCATCCGGATCCAACAAGCCACCTCCAGTCAACGAAGACAGACTATTAATGGTCAAGGTGTTATCATTTTTGCCAGTAGCTTTTTTGTATCTCAGGATGGCCTCATGCATTAGATCCTTGACCAGTAAACTTCCATCTCCGCATGGGACCACCACCCTGACGTTGTCGAAGCACACGGTTACCTTCATGCTCGCTCCAATATCATATTATATGAAGAAATGAGCACGCGCAGATGTGTGTAAAGATATATACGTACGAGAAATTACGCACGACGATTTACGCGACAATGGCGAAATTGCGTAAAAAAAAAAATGTATGTCCGTCGGCTCGTCGCCGAGACGCGCGTGTGCCGTCGCACGTGTTCCGGAATGTAGCGTGTCGCGGAATTGATATGAGTAACGCGATTATCGCGTGTTACTCGAGTCGCACCTCTCCATATCTCGAAGTATGATTCACATACGTAGCGCGTCGGCACGTTACGACCTTCAGTAGTGGAGCAATTAATCCGTAGGTCGAGCCGCCGACGCGACGGCTTGACGAGAACGTTCGCGAGTGTTGAAATCTTGGCAGGACAACCGATAAGGCGGACGCGTACGCCCAACTTTATCGCGACATCAAATATGCGGAATAGACGCACTCGCCATTATAACATTTCATTCCACCGTTCCGTCGTAATCAGCGTTTCACGCAGTCGAAACAACGGAATTGAACAAAATGGCGGCGCACATGATCAAACCATCTCCACCACCACCCTCAGATACCTCTAACGTGCCGAACGATTCCTCGATTCGAGAGCGATATGTGACCGTACTTGATAAACATCAGTATAGGTTATACGCACCTTTTTTCAGATACTGTGCCATTCTTGAGGAATGTGTTCTCACTCAGAGTCGTAATATTAATAAAAACAATAAGAAATTCGTTTCCCGTAAGTTACTGCGATATCATTTACATAGCACAGACTGAGCAGAAATGGTTCTAGTCCATCGTTTCTTGTTCGCGACATAACTATGTAATTGCGGGCTATTTATAGGCGCATTCGCAACGAGCGACAGTTGCTTCGACAGTTGCTTTTGTCCATTTAATAAAAAAGTAAGTATATAAATATACTCATATATAAATGATAGCAAATGGTTCGCAATATTTTTACGTCGATATATTTTATTAAGTAATTCTAAAATACTTATTTTTTATTTAATCTAATTTATCATCTTTTTAATAAAAATATTAGAAAAATTCAATAAATTACTATGATTTATTTAACTAGAGATCGACAATTGTATTAGCGCTTAGGCTAATTTACATGAAATGTGGCAAATTTAGAGGGGTGGCATTTTTGAAAAGAATTTCTAACAAATTAGCAATTTACATCGAGCTCGCTATATTATAGCGTCGCAGGCATCGTAAACGTACGACTTTAAAATTAACGCATTGGATTGGTTGACACAACTTGCGACTTGTGACGCCTACGATACAACCAGTGTAAATTCGGCTTAAGACTTGAACGGCTTGAGTAAGGATAGGCCTGTCCAATTCGAGTTCCAAAAGCTCTATTTTTGAACAAATACTTTGAATCTATATACTCAAAGAACAAATATCGCATAATAAAAATAGCAATTCCGTATACAATCGATCAATTACAGTCGAGAAACTGTTATTTTCGTATGCGAAAATTATTCGTATGTGCTCAAGAATAGGGCCTTTGATCTAAAACATAAAGCCATACGCAAAAAATTCAATATGAGTAAAATTTCATTGCAAAGTATTGAGTTAAAATTGGACAGGCCTGAATAAGGGCGATATCGATTTAATTGTATAGAGGCGGCATGAGTCTTAATTCAGCCCTGATTATGTCTAACAAAGTTATTATACATCTTCACATAGCATATTTCATTCTTAAGACGTTTGAAAGCTATAAGATCCAGTTCTGTGAACGTTTTTAAGAGTCTTTATGTTAGATTTAATTTATAACAAATAAGATTTTAACTCTAAAAAATAGTCCAGATTTGCTACCAATGATATTATAATTATATATCCAATTATCCAGAATAAATAAAGCTTTGTTTTTTGTATTGACATATATTTATCAAATGAATTATTAAAATATGCTAATTGGTAAATAAATATTCCACTAAATTACAATAAAAAGTACGCATTTATTTTAGTGATAGGTGGGGGTAGATCATTGTCGTCATCAGGTAACAGTAGAGAGTGACGACTCATCGTACACCTATCTGAACCTTACTCCATTTGAAACGTCAAACCATCGCAAAATTTCTAGTGTTTCACTCCGCAGTTTTTTCGTTACGTCATCAATATTGTTAGAGATTATAAGGAAACGAAATATACGAATATTCTCATATAATGAAGTGGTTTGCGGGAAGTATTAATGAGGCGGTTGCGACGTCAAAATCGAGGAAGGCAGTTTTCGTTGTATTCGTAGAAGGTATGTAATCCAAATTCTAGGTTAGATTTGACTCTAGTTTGATCCAATTCGAAGTTACCTTTTTAATCTAATACATATAAATATATATAACGTATGAATACATGAAATATGTGAAGTACACAAAATGAATACTTCATCAAATCAATCATATTTACACAAATTGAAACAGTTATATAAATATTAGTATAATGTTCTTTTAGGCAAAGATGACACATCAGTGCAACTTGCTCAAGCAATTGATGCTACAGAAGTCTCCTCCCGCCTGGAAGGAGAGCATTTTATAGCTATAAGATTAGAGAGTGGATCCGAAGCTTACAGATTCTTTGCGCAAATTTGTATCCTCTTATATAACATTTATATCTTTCTGCTTTAATGTGAAATTTATTAATTTATTATTATATAACATTTATCTTTTTGTTTTTAATATTATTTGTGTTTATCACATTTTAAAATTTTCCTTAAATTTAATAATCAGATCAATTAGTACCAGTACCATCCTTATTTTTCATTGGAGAAAATGGTACACCATTGGAAATTATTGCTGGTAGTGCAACTGCATCTGAATTAGCATCCAAAATTGATAATGTACTTACGAAGGCAGGGAAGAGTAATAAACAATCTTCATTAAACTTGATTGACGCAGAACAAAAAGCTACAGCTGCCAGTAGCAGCAGTAATAACAATGTTGTTGAGACTACATCTAATATAAATGATAATAATTCCAATTCAAATGCAGATTTAACTTCTGATACAACAGAGTCTGTTACACCAGTAGATAGTTCAAATAACGAAAACTATGTCACGGAAGATATAGCAAAATCTGCAACTTCATTAAACACAGGGAATCAAGACAATAATGAAGCGTCAGCAAAAATAAATGTTGAAACTAAACAAGATAATCAAAATAAGGAATTGACAGCTGAGGCATGTGAATTTATTTATCAAGGATATTTATATAATTTTGAGTGACAAATTATATCTGTTTAACATTTCTAGGAAAAGATTGAAAGAGCACGACAGTTAATTGAGCTCCAACGAAAACAACGACTAGATGAGGAGCAGAAAAAGGAACGTGAACGTGAAATTGAACGACGCAAGATGGGACGTGATGTGCAAAAAATGCGGCAAATGCAGCAAGAGTTAGAAATAAAGCAAGCTCATGAAGAAAGGATGCGAGAGAAGGCTGCAGAGGCTGCAGCTCGTGAAAAAGTCAGGCAACAAATCGCTCAAGATAAACTAGAACGAAAACAAAAGGAACTTGCTCTACAGGTTAATATCACTTTAATCATTTTAATCGTTAATGATTTTTTTATTTAATTAGAATTAATTAAAAGTTTCTTTTATTTTCTTCAACAGCAACAAATACAACAACCACAGAATCAAGAGCAACCTAAATATAATCCAACACCTAATAACGCCACAGTGACCAGAATTCAATTTAGATTACCATCCGGCAATTCTCATACAGGGCAATTTGAACCATCCGATACTTTGCGCATCTTACGCACCTACGTTACCGAAAATATTAATCTACCCTTCCGACAATTCGCCATGTCGACATCATTTCCTAGAAGAGAATTGACTAATGAGGAAAATGACAAAACTCTGTTGGAATTAGAATTGGTTCCGACCGCCGTTATTTTAATTCTTCCTTTGAAAAATGTAAATAAAATAAGATTTTTTTTAGTAAATTTATTATACTTTTAATTATATTCACTTTATATTTTCTTATATTTTTCCAGTCTAATGTCACGGCAGTGGTAACTTCAACTCAAGATGTTGGATTCTTCTCACGCTTCATATGGTCCTTTTTCACACCCGTTATTCGTATTTACAATTATATAGTAGGTTACTTTTCCGGCACTAACGGAGACGCGAATCAAAGTGGTGATACCAACAATGATTCCGTAGAAACAACAAACAACCCCGACAGAGCTATTTCACCAAATCGGCGAAATGTAGTTCAATCTTCGGGGTAGGTTTTTTCAATAAACACATGTTAAACAGTCTTGCATACACAAGCGATGATTATAAAGCTAAATGCATTTGCATTATATTTGAATATATTTAACAAAATTGTACATAAAATATGTAATTAATTTAATGTTTATTTCATGTATTAAATAAACATTCTATTCATGATACAGTTTGTTTAGAAGATACTTGGGTAATCAAGGAGGGACAACAATCAGAGCACAAGGGAATATACACAGACTACATTCAGGTGGGGATGATAATGATGAGAATAATACTTGGAACGGTAACTCTACGCAACAAATGTAAAGGAATACAAATCTCGCTCCAGTCACAGCAAGGAATAGCGTTGCAAGCAGTCGCTATTCAATCAGTTACTATTCTCGTTATATAAATCGTTATGTTGTAATTAATATTCAACACTTCTCACTTTTTGTTGTATAACGCTAAAACTTATCTGCAACATATTCTTTATTAATGCACAAGCATTAAGTTTTAACGAGCGAGTTTTATCATGGTAACACATGTTTGTCAGTAGCATTGCAAGAATGAATGTTTATTAATTAATATTTCACAATTAGCAATAATGTGAACATTATCTGAATTCTTATCGTAATATAACGTTTATTATAATGCTAAAATGTAACATCAATGCATTATAATAAATGATAATGTACATTTTATGAGAGAAAAGATCGTGGAAGTATTTAGCCACAAGTGATACATGGACCAAATACGAAAAGGTTCGTAAAAACTAACATGCAAATCACAGAGAATGTCTTAATTTTAGATATTTGAAATTTTAATGTCAGTTATTTTTATTAAGAGAGAGAGAGAGAGAGAGAGAGAGAGAGAGAGAGTTTGATGAGATGATATAAGTTTGTTCTCCTTTTTCCTTTTTTTTAGATTTAAATCTTTTCAATCTCGGATAAAATAATGGAATGTTATCCGAGTATTGTTAAAGAAAAATAATGATTAGATTAATTATATTAATATTCAATTATACGAATATACTTTTTGTTGATATTAATAGTGTACAGATACACGGTCTGTGTCTTACGCGTGTAACACTTGCGCGTGACACTTCGCGTGAGGCTACTCTATTGATTTATTATTTTTTTCATTATATTTAATAGCATAATAGGAGTGTAATTATGAGTCAAGATAATTACATACAGTAGTCAAAATAACTAGATACCGGAATATATGTAAAAGTCTTTGTGAAAGTAATAATATAATTAGGGATGGTTATTTTTTCTGAAAATAATAATTGAACACAGGATATAAAGGATGCAGGTCTGTCTTAATGCCTAAGGAAATAAACAAAGGTTCATGGCATTATATGGTTTTTATTAAATTAAATCCTTTTGCGTGAACTTAACGAAATATGCACGTAATTCTAATATTTACGTATTGAACATGGCGTAATATCAACTTTATATATGTATAATATACATGTATGTGTGTGTATATATATATATATATATATATATATATATATACATATACATAATTAACATACATATAAGCGCGAATATAGCGAAGATTTTTCATGTGTTGAAACATGACTCCAAAAATATGTTCGAGGAACCCGTCGTTTCGAATCGTATATCATGCGACAGATGTGTTTAAGAGGAATGAAGATATATTTTAACTGTTGCACTTGCCACTTGCCAATTAAGCGTAAAATTAACAAACATTTTGGCTTACTAACCACCGCGAAGGTTTCAATTTTCTGAACGTGAAACGGCAATAGCCTATCAGAGTGGTACTATACATCGGTAACATGATCTTGCAGTCACACCCATTGACAGTTTCTAGAGAACTCTTTGTCCGCGTTTCAGAATATTCTTGCTTTAAATCAAATAATAAAATAGTTCTCGATTTTTGATCCAGGCAAATATTTTTAGAAATAATTTTATGTAAAAAAATTACTTCTTATCGTAATTAAAGAATTTAAATTATATTTTAGCTTTAAAATTATTTAAGATATAATGATTTATGCAATGAAATTGTAAGCAGGTTGTATTAACCATTATATTTTGAAAGAAATTTATATAATTTATTTTGTTATCTTTGTATATTGATTCGTCTTATGTATCATCATTAAAATAATTTCATTAATTATTCATCAATGAAGGAACAAATATATTAAATAGCGGTATGATAAATTCATGGATATTCATGTGACACCGCTTCTTAACGATGTCTAATAATACATCGAAGACCTAGTTTTTCGTATTTTAGGCAACGTACTCAAAATGATCTCTCATTATTATATACGATAATTTGTAAATGTGTGTTTTACGAGAAATGATTTTCACCAAAATAGTGATTTTAAAATGACATGAATGACACGAATTCATTAAACGTATTAAATATTATTATATATTATTGAATTATTTATTAGATAATAACATAGTTATTAAATATTTATGGATGATATATGGATAATCAATATATTTCTGTGAGTTTTACTTCTGCTATGCTTTAATTAAATAAATACGTAATTTTAAATTTATTTTAATATAATAATAATAATGTACAAAAGTATTTTTTTAAATTCAAGTCTAATTCAGCCATTGTTATTTAAATGTACTATACATAGTTTTGTAGTCAGAATCTATGATTCTCTTTTTTCTTTTTGTTAAATTATTAAGTTTTATAACTAAATTAATTTCGCATCGCATCTGCTATCTATCATGATTATTAAACGGCGTTTCCGTGGTAGTGACAGAAATTTATAGTCACCTCATTACCACCGTTTAGTGGTCGCTACCGTCTCGCGATACAAGATCATTAAAAGCTTCTTCCAGAAACGCACGTGTTTGCCAAGATCCGCCCAGAAGTTTGTGCGATTGGTCGACCTAGCGCTGACGTCGTGAGCACGTGGCTTTAGGGTACCGCCTCAAGGAACGAAGAATTTGACTTGAGTGCCAAAAAAATATTGTTGGACACCGTGAGTAACCCGACAAAACAGTCGTTGGTTTCGGCTCTAATCTTTCGAACACATTGAGGGAGGTACCAATGTAACTCCTTGGTGGTTTTTATCTTTTGATTATTGTTAGTATAATCTTTTTGATTATTGTTAGTATAATCGTTTTCTTATGTTTTCTTATATTTTAATTAAAATGTAAAAAAAAACATATATTAACTGATAAAGAGAATAAGTGAAACACCGAAATTGTGCAATTAAGTTTCAGTGAAGTTCTATCATCAATTGCCTGATTTTTGGGACGTCGATTAATTATAAGTATGTAGTGTAAAACATCTATAATGAACAGTAGCAGTAGAGGCTGTAGACACATCGGGAATAAGTTGGTTTTCCAGCCAGAAATGGTTGATCGATTAACGTCAAATCGATGCTGATTCAACGTCGCTCGACGTCAAATCAATGTTAATTCGACTGTAACTGAAGATATAATAGGGCGTAGAGTAGATTCGTAAGCAAAAGGGTTAAAATCTATTTCGCTTAGTATCGGACTTGTTCTACGCTCTATTACACCTCTAGCTACAAGCGATTGAGCGCTCAATATCAAATTAACGTCGACCAACATTGAATTAACATCGATTTGACGTTGAACGACGTTGAATCAGCATCGATTTGACGTTGATAGATCAACCATTTCTGGCTGGGCCGGAAAATCAGCTTATTCCCGACATGTCTACGGCCACTACAGCTACTGTTCATTGACAATTGTAGACAATGCTTAAAACGGATCTTTTTTTTTTAAGTGAGTGATATTAAGATTGATAAAAGGAATTTGAAAATGTAATCCTTGAAAAATTAATCTATCAGTTGTAGAATACATTTCAATGAGCGCGAAATATTTACTCGAGAATATCAAAAAGACGATTTTATGTTACTAGCAGAATATTCTGAGTGTTGTTTTGACAAAACGCGTTCAAGATGTCCGATGAAGAGATGAAAAAATCAGACTCGTCGAAGAAAACAAGCGATTCTGCGGAAAATCCGAGATTATGTTCTTTCAGCATTGAGAGATTACTAGCAAGACCGAGCAAGATAGATGAAGAAGAAAATAAATTCTCACAACAGACCGATTTGTCTTTACTTTGCCAAGAAAGTGAGTAATAATGAAATTGTTTTCTAATCTCTGTTAAAATTGGATGTTAATTATTTCTAGAAAGATAACAAATAGTTTATTTCTCTATATCGCTTTTATTCAACAAGTTCTTGAATTATTCTATTATTGTTAAAAAATGTCTTTATAATGTAATTTTTTAAAATTGTATTTTCTATCAAATATTATAAATCATTTATTACATATAATCATGGGGGAGGGGTTTAACCCCCCCCCTCCGAAATTTTTTACTAATTATTTCATTTTGAGATCTTGTTAGCGCACATCCTGATAGCACACATCCACTCACATTGATGCCTAATAATTTTTCAAGCTTTACTAATGAGAATATTTTATTTTGAATTGGCCAATTAAGCGATGTATTTTATTGAAATTTCTTTTTTATTTTTAGTTGTAAAAAATATACAACTTTAGTTTTGACTTTGTATGAGCTTTTGCTGTTACATAAAATATTTTTTTCTTTTCGTTATAAAATCATATAAGCAATTTTGTGTACTTCTGTTAGTTCTAGCATACAATAACAATATTAAAGAATTAAACATTTTGCTTGTAGTAGTTATATTATTTTTTAAATGTCTTTTAAAAAATAAGTAAAAATTACAATTTGATGTACAAAACGTAAATATAAATGACGTACGAAGAGACATTTCAAGTATAAAAATATCCAAATGGAATTCATTAATGTTAAAAATTGTTGCAAATCACAACAACAAAATTGATATATTGACTTTCTTTTCATTGTGTAATACCAATCCTTTTTTTTGTTGTCATTCCGATTGGTGCACAGTATATCCCGGATTGATAGAAAACTCTTTCGAAAAAAATTTCACGATACGTCCATGCATATAATGTGATATAAAGATCAATTTTTTGAATAAATGTTTGATTAATGATAATTTTTAATTTAATCAATATGTCTTGTTATTTACACTATTGAAGATAATTTTATGGCAGTGTGAATTTTTTAAATTTCAAATAGATTTTGTAAACAATCTTGATGTGACATAATCCGTGATAAGAAATAATTAATAATTAAATAAAATAACCACATTTGCAGGTAATGAATTGGAGACAAGAATGCTTGTTGCACCTGATTCATCCATGTCAATGGCGGAAGAAATCGAGCTCGACGATACCGACATGGTATGCTCGACATCTCCTGAACCAGAGATGTATTATGGTGAGTTTAATTAAGATCATTACGCTCTATTACATTTTCTAACAAAATCACATAAATATCTATAACGTAAAATATTCTATTTGAAAGTATTTTTCCTTTTCTGTTGCTTTAAATTAAAGTAAAAAGAGAATATTTTCTCAAGATACAAGGTGGCATTAATAATAAAAAAAAATAATTATAACTATAATTATAACTATATTCTAATTACATTTTTACATGTTTAAATCATTATTTAAGATCACAAAATTGATTAGGATCAACATTGAATTAGAAGTACTTTTTTGGCTTATTTATTATGATAGAATATATTCAAATGTCTAAATAAATAACGGAAATTTACGTTTAATTTACTAACGGAATTTATTTAATAACGGAATTACGTTTTATTTTTTAAGTATACGTTTTAAATAATTTGTTAAATATTCAATAGCATAGCATTTCATTACATGGATATATGCAAAGAGTAAATTTGCTTATATGAATTTAATGTCAAAACCAGAATTTGCATAGATGTAAAACACTTGTATTTATTTTATTAAATTACTTAATTACTTATCAAGTCCTTTTGTCAAAAAGATAAAATTATGGCAATATTTCAATTTTATAATTATTATTCAATTATTAGTCAAATAATTATCGCCTTTATTGCTTATTATACATTGAGAACATTGTTTAATGCACATATAATATATACGTATTTGTTTCGTTTAATCAGAAACCATATTCATTGGTGGCAAAAATTTTTAATCAGTTTTTAACAGTTAAATATTGATAATATGTCAGATGTATCATTTAATTAAATAATATCTGCGTATTACCGTAGTTACGCAAATTTAAAAATAATTTTATTTTAACAATTCTGAAGATAATCAAATTTATAAACATTATATTTTTTTCCAAGATTATAATATTTACAAATAATAATTATATAAATAATATAGTTGAGTAAGAAGTTTTTTAGAAGTTTCGATTCCAAAATAGAAGTTATTTCATGTTTAACAAAATACAAATAATGAGCAAGATTGTATTTGAAAAGCAAAATTTTATATAATTATTTAACATTAACAGTTGCCTATGTATCGTCAGAAAGTTTTTCCGAATTTTCATTCATGACATTTATTATCCATAAAATGTTAATGCTGTTAATAGGAAATAAAAATAGTTTTCTTAACTAATGATAGCGCAAGTATACATGTAGAATCTTCAAAGATTACTTCGAGTCTTTGAACTCGAATTGTACACCACCGGGACTGATTTTGCATCGACTGGCAACATTATTACGGATATTAGAGAAGCTAATTGTTATAAAATCTACATGAGACTTCTCTTGCGGTAACGAATCTGTAAAATCGCGCGGAGAGGACTGTCGCCTGTGAGTTTGATCCATTACTTCCTGCAGGCTCCACGCCTACTCAATGTTTCTGCTCTTCGTCCACTATTTATCTGTCTCCCCTGCTAATTCTGCCATGCAACAACTCTCTCTTATTTGCAGTTAAGTGTAAAAGAACGGTACTGGTTAATTAATCCATAATTAAAATCCCAATTAATAAAATTAATCCATAATTTTTCTGAAATATTATTTTCAAAATTGTATTTATAATCATTAGAATTGTTTACATTTTTATATTGTAACTTTATATAAACTTGAAAATCCAAGAAACGAAAACTTCTTTTAAGACATAATGGTTCATTTATTATTTCTATACACGGTTCATTATACTATACTACTATAATTTGTTTAGCAAATCTTCACATGAAATTATTTCCGAGAACAATTATTGCCAAAATACGGTCGCTAGAAACAACATTGCATTTAACGTATTTCAGTTATTCGACGTGGCATAATGGAGAACCAGTTTATGTTTTACGAATAATTAAATTGAGAGTCAAGCGACTTAATTCTGCGGCATCTCGTACACGCCTTCGAGGACCTCAACGACTAATTTCCATCCGAGGGCACGTAACCACATCGTGATTTACACACCGTAATGGCCGACGCGATAAATTCGAGATCTAAGGAGAGGACAATTCTCGTTTGCGCTGTTAAAACTGAGACATGTGGGACGTCGCGTCCAACTACAAAGCCGTCAACGTAAATCTTCGTGAAAGAACAACATAAAGAGCAAGGGATGATACGAGAGAAGCATTTCTTGAATGAGCCCATTATGATATCGAGCGACAATTTTGCATTCGTATACGACATCTTTTTCACTATATTTTTAATTTTTTACTTCGATATTATATCTCTCAAAATTATTATGAATGTATTGTAGAAATTGAAGTATTAAATATCTAATGTCTTTAAGTGTCAGAATGAATTTCTGGATTCATATATTTTCTTGTTTGTATTATTAACAAGTTTGTTGATAATTGATAAGTAATTTAACTGTTCAGATATTGTTAAGATCTTGACTGGCAACAAAGGATCCTAATCATAAAGTCATCTTCGAGGCAGATTTGCCAATCTTCGCGACTCGCGTATAAATTAATTATACGGGGTTGGATGCCGAGTATGAAATGGCCAGCAACGTCAGAATGAGATTTGGCCGCGCTTTATCTCGTACTTCTGCTCTCGTGCCATTCATCACCGAATAATTAGGGGACAAGTTCGCCATGGCTCGCGGCAATTAGGTAAACTAGAAGGCGTGGTATTCTATTTCCGCGACGCGTTTAACGTGTCCCTGTTCCTCGAGCTCTTCTTCGCCCTCCGTGTTGTCGACTCCTTTTTGCGGTCATTTCCTCTGCACCAATCCTTTCCTACTGCTTTCCAGAGCTCGTTCGTCAATGCAACCGAGTCAGAAACTCGACGACAAATGAGCCGTGCTCGCTCTTTGCAGACTCTTTTCTTCCCCTTCTTTCTATGTGCTTCCGGCTGTGAGCAGATTGTGATAATTAAATATGCATTGTCAAAGGAATAATCCACTAAACTTAATCTTAATATCTATGTATATTGTATATTATATGAATATATATAATATATGTATATTATAAGTAATATAATTTGCCAAAATGTTATTTAATTTATTAAAGAGTTATTTAGAGTTATATGTTTTTAAATAAATACAAGCTGATTAAAATTATTTAATAATTTATAATAATAAATATACACATAGTAACACATATATGTATTTATGTAAAAGTTAAATAATTTTGATCAACTTATTTTTATGCTTAATTGATATCCATGGATTCAGTGTACTATAAATTAATATATCTTTGTTTAAAATAATTGAACAATTTTTTTTTAAATTAAACATTTGAGGAATATGAAAAAAGTTAATGTTTGTTAAGAACAAAAAGAAATTTGAAGTTTTTATAATATACAGAATATTATATTCTGCAAATATATCTAAAAGATATAGTGATCCAGAAACGAAATATTACCACAACAGCTGACATGATTTTCTTTTGGGATGTGGATAACTACATCGAGTGTGCACGTCAGTAGTGCGTTTCGCGCGAAGTGAATTAGAGACGGTACAGTTTTAGCCGACAATTCTGCAGTACGACTATAGGCGAGGAAGCCACGAAAAAGGCGCGAGAAACGCGACAATTACGTCGCCATCTGACAATTAGTAGCCAGTAAACGGCGCTTCTTGGCATAATGTCGCCGCGAATAGCTTTTGTGGAATATTTATTATCGCAATGCACGAGAAACCACCTGAACCATAAGTTGAACTTTCCCGTTTTTCATCCCGTAAGTCGAATGGTTTTCTATTAAAATAACTTATGCTAATGGATTTAAATAATTATGGAATAGATTGTTTTATTTTAAGGATTTTATAATTGTCAGTTTTTATTCTCAATTTTATTCTAATTTTTTAGGTATATTAATAGTCAATTTTATATTTACAAACGATTTAAAATCGTTTTAAGAGTACAGTCTCAAAATGTCATAAATCAATCACTAATAAAACTATATTATCAGCTTAAGATATTACTTGAAACTTAAAATAAGAACGGATTACTAGCCTTATAAAATAGATATAATTATAATTTCAATTTTCAACTTGTAATCTTAGTATTATTTACATATAATTGATAAATAAATTATATTTTTTTGAAATTAATATTTCAAATTAATTAGCACTGCTATTTAGAAAAAAAAATCATTTAAAAAACTGTTGAAAAATTCTTGAGATTCTTATTTCAACGACGATCAATATTAGTACACTGAGAGAAAAATGTTTAGTATTTGTAATTATAATTACGTGTTACTATAATTATGATTATTACTGTTATAATAATAATAACAGTAACTATGTATATAGTTCTAGCAACAAATGTATATAGTTGGCAACCTAAAATGACTAAAATTATAGTTATTATAACCATAAAATAATTGAAATTACCATAAATATGTCAAAATATAACTATAAAATTATAATCACTTGAATCATTTTTATGGTAATTTCTCAACTATTTTATGATTATAATGATTATAATTATATATAATTATATATAATAATAGTCATTTTAGATTGCCAACTATATACATTTGTTATTAGAACTATATACATAGTTACTGTTATTATTATTATAGCAGTAACAATCATAATTATAGTTACAAATACCAAACATTTTTCTCTCAGTGTAGCATAATATTCTCAGCGTTTGTCGAAAGCGTGAAAGCTCAGTCGGATGTTGCGATGCCACACTTTTTCGTCGGATGACGAATGGGCAGATAATTAGAAGATGATCCTCCGACGCTTAAGAGACCGGCGGGCCTGTTTTTAACCGCCTAAAAAAAAGCCCGGAGACAC